GACTTTTTTTTTTCTAATATTTTTTTTTACCAAAACTAACTAGTGTATGCTTTCATCTTTCTTGTCCTTATTTTGTTGAGACAGTTCTGGATGGGCTAGCTGCTGACAGAGATATAAAAAATGGTTTAAAAAGTTATCATATCGGGTATATACACATATATATGTATATATGGGTATACAGTTGGTATATGTATGTTTATATGTATACGTAACATTATATCGTATTGGTACACTGGCTGACTGAAGCTATCGAATAGCAAGATATAAAATAAGTCTTGTCAAATAGCCGTATCTTGTCACCACTCAGTATCATGATATGGGGCATTATTTCAACCATATTTCAGCAATTTGAAAGTGAATCTCTAGAGCCTTAAAATGTCAGATCATAGGGCTAAAGAATGGGAATCACAGTAACTTTTACGTTCATTTCCATGACTGACCTGTAGTTCTTTCTGGCTGAGTCTTGCTATCTCTCATGCTATGTGCTACAGGAAAACATGTTTTAAGGAGCCAGAAGCATAACTTCCCACCACACAAAGATGAAACAATTCATGCCATACCATGAGCCAGCAGTTGTGTGACTGTAACTTCAGCTTGCAGTCAGCTGTTGTCCTTATGAGTTTGTGGAATTTCAAGACCTAAATAATCTCTCATTTTCAGTAGTTTTATTATGGATTACAGAGAAGCATCAATGAGATATAAACATAGAGTTTAATAACCCAGCACCAACTAAATAAAACATGCTACTGCAAGGTTTTTAGCTACGAGGATCCTTAAAGAGGTTTGAAATACATTGTAATGTCCTTTCAGGCTGCCAGTGAAACTAAAGAAGGGTTTTAGACAATAAATTGGACTTGTTGTTAAGTTAACAAAGGCCTTTCTTTGGATATATTTTTTTTTTCTTTTTGCATTTCTAGAAAATTTCCTCCAGCCTGGCAGGCTTCCTTTGTCATGAATTCCTGTCTTTGATGATATAATAGCACTCACAAAATTTTGAAACAGTGATCATTCGGTGAATACACAGTTTTTCTTGCTTTTTATGGCTAGAGTATTTGCTGACTCACTGCAGTATCTTTCTTTGCCTTCAATTAACTGTAAAGCCCAAGAGGCAGCAAAACTATAAACTGATCAGATTTTTTTCTGAGAGCGAATAATGTGCATTCTTTCCAGCTAAAAGCTCTTGGCTGTACTGTGCAAGAGAAGGCCACACTCACACAGTCCAAAGTCCCTCTAAGCCTCCGAGCAAAGCCTTGGTCTTTGCTAGCTCCACGCAGACTGATTTTGGCCCTGAGTCATTACTCAAGGGCTGCCCTCACTCCCTCTGTTGCCTCCACACAGGTTTTGAGGTGTAAATTAGGTGGACAGGACTTACAACACCAGGAGCATAACCTGAGTTTCCAGTTTGACATGGAGGCTAACTCTCTGGAAAATGATCAAGCATACCTTTTATAAAAAATGAAGAGATGAAATTTTACCCTCAAATATTGACATTGACTTCTCATCTCATCTCTTGCTGTTACGGCATCTCAGGGCAGAATTTGGATGCAAATGCCACAGACCAGTGACTAGTATGATCAAGTACCTATCGTTAGTCATATTGCTTTCTAGGTTTTTAAAATGGGGATGGGGAAGTACATTGAAAAGAGTTTATTCCTTTGTTGCCTGTATTTATTGTTGGTTTGTAGGTAGAGGTAGTTTGACATCAGCACACAAAAAATTATTTGGGCAAGTTGCCCTATTTGTGACAGGTTAGACTTCCTATAGCATGTTTATCAAATCTCCTTGGGGCCTCAAACTAACCATGATACATTTATTTGGCACTTAACAGTGATGTATTTATTGTCATTATTACTTGGCCATACATTTGGAAACTTATAGTACATGTCTCTACATTGCATTTTAACTGAAATATGAAAACACCGTGGGATTTCCCTGTCATGTCTTTTATTTCAAATGTTTTAGTCCACAACCACAAAGAGAAGAGTAGATCATCTCTGACTTACGCTGACCCAGTTCTCCACTCTTTCTTGCCTGCTACACACCAATATCAGTAGAGTTACAGTGACATAAACCAGAAGAATACAGTAAAAAATCAGATCCTTCCTACACCAAATCACTTTCCACATCTGTTTCCTATTTGTCTTATAATGACACATAGGATTATTTTGGGAATATATTCTGCTTTAACTGTCATGCCACTGACTTTATAGCCTTATCAAATATCCATTGGTGTGCAGGTTGAGCAATTATCATCTACTAAGAAGAAATCCCAAGAAAACGTAGATTGATAATAACATTTTTCAATAATGGGTTGTAGAATTAGTGCCATTTTCTATTATTGTAGTTGAGGTATAGCACTCTCCTCAATTTACCGTTTTTATTTATTGTGCAAGATCTAGATATGGACCCTACAGCAGAATTTCAAAAACAGTTTTCTTTTTCATTATTTATTCATTTGTGGTTAGAAGGAGCAAAGTCAGAAAATTGGACAGAAGCAAGGAATGTGTCTGGACTATTAAGAAACAGAAAGAAAGACAGAGGGAAAGAAAGAAATTTAATACTGTGAAAGATATTACAGATACAGGATGACTGTATAAACATAATCAGGCAGGCTACATCTACAAGAACATGCCTTAGGAGATTGAGCTTGAATTCTGGGATCAAACTTCACAAAGTTGTGTCCAAACTTTTTATCTCACAGTGCAGTAGGCCCCTCCAAATAGACCATTCTGCTAACAGTCCATTTTCCCTTCACCTTTTTCTCCAGTAAATGGAGTGAAATGTGAAGTCCTTCTGATGTTCCTTTGAAAATATGTAATACACACACACAGATATATGCTTGCATGATGTAATTGAACAAGGCTGTAATAAAAACTATAGCCTGTGACCCACTTACAGAAACATGGACTCAATAGGTTTAAAATAATACCATTTGGAAATATGTTTGGTCACTGGCCTGGCCCATGCCTGGATTCAGTATGAACGAGCAAGATGGGGAAGGCAGGGTGCCAGGGAGAGCGCTGCTTCCAAATACTTGAATTCACTGCTCATGAGAAAGACATCAGCTATTTGCCTGAATGATCTTCACATTAAAAAAACATTACTAAAGCAATTGCTGAATAAAATTTGAGTTGTTGATATTTTTTTGCATCCTCCACAGCATTGTGGAGTGCCAAGTCTCCAGCACTAAGCACTGGAGTGTTGCCCTTGAGGGTGAAACTATTGTGCATAATTTTGAGACTTTTGATTGCGAGCACAGGGCAATGTAAGACTCTGGCGTTTACACGTTATTTAAGCTTTCATGAAGTTCTAGCCTGAGACGTAGTGAGGAGAAGTGAAGCTGAATGGGCAGCTTAGGAACAGTCTATAACTGCTTGAAGGGTAGTTATGATGGATGCTTTTGCCATCTGTTTGCATCTTTGCCATCATTGCGGATGATATAATAAGGACAAAAAGTCACAAGTTGTTCCTGGGAAGGTTCAGTTTAGAAAAAAATTCTTCACTAAGAGGGCAATGGAAGTTGCCCAGAAAGGTTATAAAATTTCCATTCCTGAAGGTTGTCATGGCTTGGCAAGACAAAACCAAAACTGACCATACCCTGTGTTGACAATAGTCTTCTTTCAAGTCTTCCTGGACTTAATGACATCTAAAGAGCCCTTCCAGCCAGGAGCTCTATGATTCTGTGTTTGGAAAGGGATGATGAGAATAATAAAGGCGGGGGGGGGAGGCTTGAGATAGTCTGTGGAAGCAGTAAGTGCTTGAGAATAGAGGTAAAGAGCTGATCTCTTATGAAATAAATAGGGGAAAATATTGTAACATCTTAGTTGCTTTCTACTACCAACACATACATTTTAGATATATATTCTGATATTTATTTTTGTTTATTTTCTTAAAACAGATGACCAATCTCTGATTAGTCAGTAAGACAAAAAGAGACTGTATCAAGCTGTAGTTCCTATTACAGCCTAAGCTACTTGGTCCTGCAAATATTGGTTAAAGGAAGTCCTTCCGCATCTACCTCATAGAGAATTTTTAGGTATAAGCAACTGAGAACTGGGTGCAAATGCCTAAGTAACTAGAGAAACTGTTGGGGGTAGGGGTTGTCCCAGTTTTGGGGCTCCTTGACTTAGTTAGGTGTCAGTGCAAATTAACCACAGTGCAGGTGGGAAATGGAGATTTCAGGTTTTGGCGTGGCCTCCACAAGTCTTCTGTCAATGTAGAAGTCTACTCTGCAAAAAGCATCTATTATTCTGGTTTCACCCTCAGTGCAAAATGTAAGATAAACACACTATTCAAATTGATTGGCAGATTTGTTCCCCCAGTTAAAATTAAAGTAATTAAATGTACTGAAAAGCCCATTGCTTTGGATTTACTGACCTTGATTTGAGTTACTGTTGACTGAGGCCCTTTTTAATCTTGGTTTATATCCCCATATGCTTTGCCCTCAGCCTGTATGTTTTAAAAGTTTTGTTGCGTAGTACTGAAAAATAAAAAAAAGCTCTCCTGATGCAGTTAAAATTTAATTTGAGGATGCATGAAACAGTAAGTCACTAAGTAGTCACATTAGGAAAAGCAGAATTTAGTATTGCATTATGCATTAATCTACACTTGCAGGATATTTCAGAAAAGTATAGTCAGTGAAAAATAGGTTTTGTCTTTTTTCAGACAAAAGTTTCAAACTCCAGCTTCTTCAGTTACTATTACTCAGACATATTCTCAGTGAAAGCAGAAACAATTCAATGAAGCTATGCAAATTCATCTGAAGTAGAATAGATGAGACACAAGCTCTGCATGTGTATTTCTGCTTTGACTAGCCTTCAGCACAATACTGATTAGAAGGTAGGCACTTTTGCCAGATCCTCACCTAGTGTAATTTGACTTCCCTGAAGCCACAAACCCCAGTATGAATCATACATACTGCACTCTGCTTAGTTCAACTTATTTTTAGTATTCTTTCATCAAATAATGTTTCTTTTTCTTCCTTTTTCCTCACCCCACAGGACAACATTTTTAGAATGGAAGATTCACATTTCGAAAATGGCCGAGGGAAAAGCCCTTATGATCCTAAACTGCTGACAGCTTCTCTTTTAGTAGGTAGGTGCCACAATACAAGTTCAATGAGACATGCATTCATTGTAAATAATCGTCAGTTTTCTGCTTTTTTTCTCCTTGCAGCACCTATGATAGGGCTTTCTTTTATGAATTTTATTTCCAGGCTAAAGTCATTGTGGTTTCATTATTTAATACAGTTTGAAGGTGAATATACATTAAATAAGGAACATAATGATCATGGAATCACAGAATGGTTTGGCTTGGAAGGGACCTTAAACATCACCTAGTTCCAACCCCCCTGCCTTGGGCAGGGACACCTTCCACTAGACCAGGTTGCTCAAAGCCTCATCCAACCTGGCCTTGAACACTTCCAGGGATGGGGCATCCACAACTTCTCTGGGCAACCTGTTCCAGTGCCTCACCACCCTCATAGTGAAGAATTTCCTCCTTAGATCTAATCTAAATTGACCCTCTTTCAGTTTAAAGCCATTACCCCTTGTCCTATCACTACATGGCCTCTCCAGCTTTCCAGTGTCCCTCTCCAGCTTTCTTGTAGGCCCCCTTCAGGTACTGGAAAGCTGCTATAAGGTCTTCCCAGAGCCTTCTCTTCTCCAGGCTCAACAACCCCAACTCTCTCAGCCTGTCTTCACAGGAGAGGTGCTCCAGCCCTCTGGTCATCTTCATGGCCCTCCTCTGGACTCACCCCAACAGGTCCATGTCCTTCTTATGTTGGGGGCCCCAGAGATGAACGCAGTACTCCAGGTGGGGTCTCATGAGAGCAGAGCAGAGGGGCAGAATCACCTCCCTTGACCTGCTGGTCACGCTTCTTTTGATGCAGACCAGGATATGGTTGGCTTTCTGGACTGCAAGCACACATGGCTGGGTCATGTTGAGCTTCTCATCAAGCAACACCCCCAAGTCCTTCTCCTCAGGGCTGCTCTCAATCCATTCTCCACCCAGCCTGTATTGTGCTTGGGATTGCCCTGACCCACGTGCAGGACCTTGCACTTGGCCTTGTTGAACTTCATGAGGTTCACACGGGCCTACCTCTCCAGCCTGTCAAGGTCCCTCTGGATGGCATCCCTTCCCTCCAGTGTGTCGACCACACCACACAGCTTAGTGTTGTTGGCAAACTTGCTGAGGGTGCACTCAGTCCCACTGTCCATGTCGCCAACAAAGATGTTAAACAGTGCTGGTCCCAATACCGACCCCTGAGGAACACCACTCATTACTGGTCGCCACTTGGACATTGAGCTGTTGACCGCAAGGCTTTGAGTGCAACCATCCAGCCAATTCCTTATTCACCAAGTGGTCCATCCATCAAATCCATGTCTCTCCAATTTAGAGACAAGAATGTCGTGCGGGACAGTGTCAAATGCTTTGCACAAGTCCAGGTAGATGATGTCAGTTGCTCTTCCCTTATACCCCATCATAGAAGACCACCAAATTTGTCAGGCACGATTTGCCCTTAGTGAAGCCATGTTGGCTGTCACCAATCACCTCTTTATTTTCCATGTGCCTTAGCATAGTTTCCAGGAGGATCTGCTCGATGATCTTGCCAGGCACAGAGGTGAGACTGACTGGCCTGTGGTTCCCTGGGTCTTCCTTTTTTCCCTTTTTAAAAATGGGGATTATGTTTCCCCTTGTCCAGTCAGTGGGAACTTCACCGGACTGCCACAACTTCTCAAATATGATGGATAGTGGCTTAGCAACTTCATCCACCAGTTCCCTCCAGACCCACAGATGCATCTCATCAGGTCCCATGGACTTGTGCACCTTCAGGTTCCTTAGATGGTCTCAAACCTGATCTTCTCCTACAGTGGGTGGTTCTTCATTCTCCCAGTCCCTGCCTTTGCCTTCTGCAAGTTGGGCGGTGGGGCTTGAACACTTGCCAGTGAAGACTGAGTCATCGAGTACCTCAGCCTTCTCCATATTGCAGGTAACCAGGTCTCCTGTTTCCTTCCGGAAAGTGTCCATATTTTTCCTAGTCTTCCTTTTATCACCAACATACCTATAGAAGCTTTTCTTGTTGCCCTTGACGTCCCTGGCCAGATTTATTTCTATCAGGGCTTTAGCTTTCCTAATGTGATCCCTGGCTGCTCAGACAATTTCTCTGTGTTTCTGCTGGGTTACCTGTCCTTGCTTCCTAGGCTTCTTTTTTGTGTTTGAGTTTGTCCAGGAGCTCCTTGTTCATCCATGCAGGCCTTCTGGCATTTTTGCCTGACTTCCTCTTTGTTGGGATGCATTGCTCCTGAGCTTGGAGGAGGTGAAGTTTGAATAGCAACCAGCTTTCTTGGGCCCCACTTCCCTCCAGGGCTTTATCCCATGGTACTCTACCAAGCAGATCCCTGAAGAGGCCAAAGTCTACTCTTCTGATGTCCAGGGTAGTGACCTTGCTGTGCACCCTCCTCACTGCCCTAAGGATCTTGAACTGCACCATTTCATGGTCACTGCAGCCAAGGATGCCCCTGAGCTTCACATTCCCCAGCAGCCCCTCCTTGTTGGTGAGAACAAGGTCCAGCATAGCACCTCTCCTTGTTGGCTCCTCTATCACTTAGAGAAGGAAATTATCATCAACCCATTCCAGGAACCTCCCAGACTGCTTGCCCTGCTGTGTTGTCCCTCCAACAGATATCGGGGTGGTTGAAGTCCCCCATGAGGACCAGGGCTTGTGAACGTGAGGCTGCTCCTGTCTGTCAATAGAGGGTGTCATCCACTTGGTCTTTCTGGTCAGCTGGCCTGTAGCAGACCCCTACGATGTCACCTGTCCCTGCCCTCCCTTTAATCTTGACCCATAAGCTCTTGGTGGGCTCCTCATCCATCCCCAGGTGGAACTCCATGCACTCGAGCTGATCACTGACATAGAGGGCGACACCCCCTCCTCATCTCTCCAGCCTGTCCTTCTTAAAAAGTGTGTATCCTTCCATTCCAACACTCCAATCATAGGAGCCATCCCGTCAGTCTCCGTGACGCCAATAAGACCATAGCCCTGCAGACATGCACACATCTTTAACTCCTCGTGTTTATTCCCCATGCTATGTACGTTTGCATTTAAGGCATTTAAGTTGGGCCACAACGAAGCTGACTTACTGGCTGGAGTGGCTGGAATTCCTTTGTGCTGCTCTTCAGGTGCTCTCCTGCTGACCTGTGATCCTTCTCCAGGCTCTGGGCATCTATTGCTGGCACTGACGTCAAACTGGGAGGAGTGGGATGGATTAAGGTTCTCCTCCACTGGCAACTTTAGTTTAAAGCCCTCTTCACCAGCTTGGCAAGCCTATGACCGAAGATGCTCTTCCCTTTCTCTGACAGATGGGCCCCATCAGTCTCTAGCAGACCAGCTTTGTCAAAGCGAGTCCCATGGTCTAAGTAGCTGAACCCCTGGCTGTGGCACCAGTTCTGTAACCATTTGTTGATTTGCCAGATTCAGCTGGCCCTTTCAAACCCTTTCCTTTTGACCGGGAGGACTGATGAAAAAACTACCTGCACTCCAGAGTCTCTTCCACCTCTTCCAGGCTCTGTAATCCTTGATACCCCTCAGTCTGCTCCTGGCTATATCACTGGTGCCCACATGAAACAACAGCAGTGGATAATAGTTAGTGGACTGTACAAAGCTTGGTAGTCTCTCAGTGACATCCCTGATATGAGCCCGCAGTAAACAACACACCTCTCTAGAGAGTGCATCAGTCAGCAAATGGGTGCCTCCATACCTCTCAGAAGCAAGTCGCCTACTACTATCACCCATCACCTTTTCTTAGTTGCACTGGTTGTTATATGGGGAGCAGATCGGGCTGCCTTGCTCAGCGCCAGTGTCTCTCCTGGTGTGATGAGTCTTTCCTCTTCAGTCTGCAGAGCAGTGAAGCGGTTCTGCAAGGGCACCTCAGGCTTTGGGGGAAGTCTCTTCCTCCTGCTGGTCCTTGCTGTTGCAACCGTCCATTCTTCTGCATTATTGGCCCGGCTCCTTTCTGTGTGTGCCGGTGGGCAAGTTTTTGGCGGTTGACCCAGTTGTCTTGAAAAACAAGGTGTGCGTAAACCAAGAATCCAGTATCACAAGAGCCACTTTATAACTCTGTAGGACCTTGATTCTGCAAAGTGTTTCTCCTCCCCAGAGCTAGGTGACTCTGGAGGTATTTTAATAGTTCACAGACTGGCCTCACTGACTGTTGCACCAGCAGAGCTGAGAGCAAAGAGAGAGTAGGAATAAGTAATTTCTTACATGAGTTTTGCTGCCAAGGAAGGTCTATCACCCAATTGTACCTGCATGTGAGCTGGAGATACACAAGCGTTCACAGGTCTAGGCCTTAAGATGATGTTTCAGCTGAAGAGATCTATCCAACAGTGAATATAATTAAACTCCTTGCCAGAACAGAGAGATTTCAATAAATTAAGTATTTTTGAATTAGTAATACTTAATTGCATGGAATATGTAAGTATAGAGCACCTGGACTGTGTTAATCTGATTGAACTAATCCAATTGATCGAATTTATCTAATTGATTTAACTTATCTAATTGGATTTTGTTCATTGTTCTTCCTGCTCCTTCACGAAAAAGGCAAAAAGATGTTTTGTAAGAAGAAATTAAGAGTGAGACAAATTAGATTCTTCTTTCACTAACAACTCTGCACAGGTGTAGCTACTTTATCCTTAACATGTAACTTTCTGGCAATTTATTACAACTTGAAACCCAAGGGACAACAATAGTTTCAGAACACTGCAGATTCTCGTATGTTAGAAGTCTTTGGGAAATGACACATAACCAGATACACTGTCTTCTCCAGGACTTTGTCTATATTGCTAGTCTAGGGTCTTGCATACCAGCTACCCATATTATATTTACATGACATTTAAAAATGAAGCTATTCAAAATAGACAGCAACAAAAATTTAGTCTTGAGTGTGCCTCATTTCCTGATCTTCAAACCCCCTAATGATCACAGGTGATGAGCTACCCTGGGGACATGCACTTTTTAACAGGAAAAACAAGACAGACGTCCACATCTTGCTCCAACTTGTACCTTGTACAAACAGAAAGGAAAAAAATGTGTG